CCTTTTCATGACGTTTCTGGAGGCTGTGCAAGAGCACACCCCATCCTTGTGCAGCATCTGTAACCCGCAAAATCATGCGAGAATGGGCCCTGCTTTTAAAAATAGTTGTCGGATGTTGGTGAATGCTGCCATGTCGCAAAATGTCATAGTTTTATCATCACTGCCTTAGAGCCTCTATGTAAATAACTTAGAGAAAAGAAATTGAACACAAACAGTCTTGTATTATCTAAAGTTGCACTGGCTCTACTTCTTTATTGTGTAATTTCAGACTATAGATGAGGGCAGTCTATAGAAAAAATAAATCCATGGAAAACTGAGAAGAGTCATAGTTAAGAGTTTGCCCTGATTGCTAGCTGTTCTGTTTCCAGGGAATATTTGCATTAATAAATAGTCAATTACCTGCAGATTCCCACGGGCATATTTTCTCACTTAGAAGTAATTTTCCATGGCTCAGGTCTTGGTATGATTGCTTTTCTGATTCGACACCACTGTCCTACTGTGAGATTTCTGGCCATTAATATCTGAGTTTGGAGACTTAGATACACTAATTCCTCAAGTTTCAAAAGAAAGTCAGTTTCCACAGCAATTCACATATTACACCCATCTATTTATCTATCTATCCATCTTAGACTAGAATAAATACTAATTCAATTGGGTAGCATAAACTCTCTATAGTACACAACTGTTGTACCTAATGCAACATTCATCTTAGCACAAATTTATAATATATAATAATTTGTGTTTGGATTATTATCCAATCAATTGGGATGATCATTTGTCCTAAAACTTACTGCATTTTTGTTTTTAGCCATGCTGGATGGGGTTGCTGGGAGCTAATATACAAAAAAGCCCCACAGTAAATTTGTATTTTACCAGTGTTTATGATAAATTATTTTGGAGAAAAAAGAGAATGTAATAAACTTGGGTCTGTTCTACAGTATATGAGCAAGCATATAAAGCTTATTTATATTGTTTAAATAATTGTTGAACATTAAACCCATAACTGATAAGCAATCAAGCTCCTGATGCATCCTTATTACACAAATTAGAAAAAACAAGGTAGTTTGATTGACTTTGGTGGAATTAGTATGACAGTAAAGCTTCATTCTGTATTCAGTGCAAAATATATGTTATTCTTTGTCTTCTTTGCCACTAGGTGTCAATCACTCACTGAGTCTCTGGGCTTCTGGGCCTTTTAGCTGAGATCAAGCATAGTGGGTGCAGCGTTTAGTATCACAATAGTCTTAGCCAATACTACAGCAAGAAGATAAATCTAAGATTGGTTAAAAGGTACCATTGACTATGAGATGTATACTGTACCTATTCCCTGCAGGAGAACTAATTCAACTGATCATTGGGATGACTAATGACAGCATAACTAATTCTCACTCACTAGATTAATTTACTGTGAGTTTCATAGAAAATAGCAGCTAGGTGACCTAGACAAGTTTTTCCAACTTCCTAGTCACATATTTTGCCAAAATTTAGGCTGTTATATTTGTACTTTGAGCAGCATTTCCATTTACCTAAAAAATTCTTCTGGGAGACCTATCTGTTAAGAGAACAGTTGCTGCATAGAACTTGATTAATTGCAAATCATAGGAAGGGCTTTCCTCTAGTCCACATTCTTAAACTCCTACTCAGTTTAGGTTTTCCAGACAAGTAGGCATATTTTTCAAACAAAGCACTAGGTCACCCTTCATATTTATTTATATTTTATGTTATTGCTTTATTGCATTTTTGCTTTTTAGATCCATGCTTGGGAGCAGGAAGCTATAAGAAGCATGGTAAATTGTGTGTTTTGAGCATGGCAGCAGTTGCATTATTTATTTGCTTATTTATTTACTTTTAATGTAACAAACCAAGAGGAGCAGGGATCATGGTAAGTAACATGAAGGCAGTTCTAAGCACACGTGGTGCCAAATTCTAGCTGTAGATTGAATTCCAAGACCTGAAATAATTTATTACCTTTATACTGTTGCTGTTTTATTTCTTATCCAACCTTTTAAATCTGCTATTATTTTTAGCTACAAAAACTGCCCATTGGTAATCTACTTGGTTATGGATCAGTTTTTGAAGGATAACATCTACATGGACTGCATAATCTTCCAATGGCCATTGTAACTCCTCAGATAGGGAGAGGTTGCAACTATTGATCTAATTAAAAACTGTATTAGCTCCTTGAGCATAATGTAGAATATACTGTATTTTGTTGAATTCCTGTTTCAATATTAAGTTACTTTTAATTGCAACAGAAATCAATGTTCTCTCACTTCTCGTCCAAATGCTGCTGCTATAATCAGGCAAAACTGCAGTTATAGTAAGAAAGAGAAAACTTGATTTAATCTTGATGTTGCATTGTAAATAGTATCAAACTTTTCCAAGCAACCCTGGTTTCAGATGTAAAGCTAACACTTTAATTTGTCTTGCATCTTTTATAAATAGCATGTTTGTCATCCGGATTTGGGGTTGCAGGAATTAGTATTAGTACATCAGAAGTGATAGCTAGACATTATGGATTGAAGGAATACTCATAAATCAAGCTATGAGAGGTAGGATAAGGATGGGGGAACTATATAGACACTATACCATGCTACTCCATTGATCTATAAATTCTGATTAACTACTTTAGTGCTCTGCTTAATTGGAAAACACGACTTAATCAAGATGCCTCCCAGGGAACCAATTTCCACCTAATGATATTTGATGGCAAGGACAGCTGTTTAATTGGGATGGTAATTCCACATAATTAGAACACCTTCAGGTAACTGCATGATGCTTAGGTTGGCAGGCGTGTCTGTGGAGCCTTGGGCCTTATCTACTGTTGTGAATAGAGGGCGGGATCCTAGATAATTTCGAACGCTATAGTATCTATCAGCCCATCAGTAGAATCTGATCAGGTTTCATAGCCCCAATATTAGAGATAATGAAAAGTGTTACACTTCAGCAACAAATGTAAACAATTCATTACTTGGTTTACTGCAGCTACAACTCCCTTTCTATAGCCATCTCCACTGCTGACAAGTCTTCCTCTTGTTCTGGCCTGATAACTCTACTTTTCCTATTTGTCACTAAAATTCCTGCTAAAGGTGCTTTGAGGTATGCTTGTAAAAGCAAACCTGTTTGTGCATAATTGGACATTTACTTTCTTTTTTTGGGGTGTGTGTGTGTGAAGAGTTAATATATTATTGTAATATCTTGCACAGCATTACTCATATGGGGACAAAATTTATTTTGATTTTGCTAAAAGTATACAGAATGGCCAAATAAACTAAATATTTGTGAAAGTTATATAGACTTTAAGGATCAGAAAAAAAGGGGTGGGAGAATGACTGAGACAATTCTAATATTCTGCATATTTTCTGCTCCACTCGAAAGAGCTTATTTACTTTACTTATTCTCTTTGCATAATGTTGGTTTTACAAAGATATAGAAAAACAATCAACAAATCTCTTTTGTTACAATTTTGTTATGTAAATAAATTTTGCTTCCACCTTTGTTTGAATTGCTTCAAGAAACTTATTTTCAAACATCAAGAACAATAGATCTAGACATATGCACACAATTGTCATCTCTTTCTATGAAAAATAATCTTTCAAACAATATTTTTTAAGCTTTATATTGCTGCTCTTAAAATTAAATTGATAGTAATACAACCCTTAAAGATAGAAAGGTTTCTATTTTTGATCTCTACTCTCTTTGTGAACAATATTGATAATTTTGCATGGGATCCCTTGTTCCCTTGTTAAAACAGATGTGGCAGAATTTCTTGAAAAAGAAGAGAATATTTCAATATTTAATTTTATTTCTTAGGTTGTGAAATACAAAAGAAGAGTATCAGTATCTCTCAGAGAAACCTGCTGTGGAATATGCAATGGAGCTTGTCCTACAAGATGGATATAAGACAGTGGCCCCCAACCTTTTGGGCATAAGAGACCAGTTCCGTGGAGAATGGTTTTTCCATAGACTCAAGGGCTGGTGGTTTTGCCTGCTGCCTGCTCCCTGCTCCAAGCACTAGAGATTAGATGAAAGCATCAACATAGAAAGAGGCCTTGAGGTTACTAAGCCAAAGAAACTAAAAAGAAGCATATTATGGAACAGTCATGATCAAAGCAGAAAGCCCATATTAAGTGTGCTGTCAGTCTTCCAAGTATTGGAAGCCCCCTCAGCCAGAACAGCTTTGGGGTTGACACCTGCATTTGAAGGTATTCAAAGATTTCCATCAGTGTTGTGACAACATGATTATAAAGTAATGTTGTGTTTGCCAAGTCACATAAATGCTTGCATGGAAAGATATTTCAGTAGTAGTAATACTCACCTTAAAAAGAAGGAAAAGCATAGCAAATATTAAAAAATGAAAAAAGTGGGTACATTTATCTTCAAAAAAAGAAAAGAAAAACATTCCTGAGGTTACAATTGTGTTGAAAAAGAACAAATTAAATCAAGGAAATGGTTTGGAATGGGTGTACTTCCAATCTACTTCACTGTTCTAGTGCTCAAACTGTTCTGTAGAAACATACAGCCTATGTATGATACATAATATGGGTATAATAATCATGTATTCTCATGTTGTCTCACTAATGAAGAAACCTGGGACTGTTTGAAAAAAATATTTGCTCAGATAATGAAACTTGCTTCCTAGTAGACCTGCCTAAACTTTAATGACCAAATCAGAAAGCCCTACTTTAAATAGTACATTTGCCACGAATTCCATTTTTAATATTTAATCCATATGCAATATGAACTATTGCTGTCCGAACTATTGGAATATATATCAATTAAATATTTTGAGCATTCTAAAGTGCTTTAAAATGTCAAATTTTAAAACAAGCTGACATGAAAATCATATGTAGGCTCTACGGTATAACTGAAGAAAGATATAGGAACAAAAACAGTTCTTATGCAAGTTGACACATATTTCCTGTTCCAGCAATGTTTTATTTTGGTTTCTGCCCTGGAGGATGGATATATAGGCCAGATTTTTTTTTTTTAAAAAAAAGCCTCCCTACAACATAGGTAATGGAATTTTAACTTTTTGTTTTTTTTTCTCTTTTTTTAAAAAAGCACTTCTTAACAAAATATCTTCTTTTGTACAAAATAACATTTGAGTCATCTTTTCAGCTGCTAATGTTTTTTTAAAAACTGTTTAGTATCTTCTTTAGGGATTGGTGGTTTTTTAACTGGGCTGTCTCCAAAGGCATTTCCCCTTCACCCCAAATGCAAAAATTCCACTTTGACAGCTGATGCTCTGCGAACACTTTATTACACAAGTTACATTCAGCTTCTGAAAATAGTGTTCTAACAGTATAGCCATCTAAAAATAAGACATCCTGGAAACACACAAAAGTCTGAGCAAGAAGAAGGAGGAGGGGAAAATAAAGATCCAATAATAAATAGAGACTTTTTAAAATCTTTCCCTTAAAGTAATAGAATACTTGTGATATTTTTTTAAAAAATAGGGGATTTAGTGGCTCTGTTTCATTGTGGCACTGTATTCTCTCTTTTCTGTGGTAGATTAAGGGCATCGAAAGTGAAAAGGCACCAAAGAAAAACTGAAAAACAAAAGTATTCTTAAAGCTGAGACTGGGACTTATTTACAAATATAGAGACGGTCCCTAATTGAAATGAGTAAATATTACTATTTTAAAGCATTACTGCAATTAAAGTGGGATTGCCCTGCTTTCTTAAAAGGTTCACATAAAACAATGGCACTGATAGGAAATGTTCACACTCCAAAACTGAACTGAAGCAAAAGGGAGGGAACGGAAGAACAAAAACAAAATTAAATCTGTGTACAGCCTCACAAAGGACTAGTACAGTTTACAATTAAATACGTAAAATCTTAAAACGTGCTAAATCTGGCAATCTTTGTAGACTCAGACCATGTAGCAATTAAAGGCCAGTTTCAGGAAGAAGATGAAGGTATCGCTGGAGGCTGTGGGACAGGTTCTTCCTCTTCTGAATCTGTGGCATCTTCTTTTTCCTGGTCACTCCCTTCGGTACTAAGTCTGTCAAACCCTTTTCGACTGTAACCTGCACGGCTTGCGAAAAAATTCCCCAGATTGAGGCCTCCACTGCCTTTTCCTGCAATGGAAATCAACTTTAGGATGTGGTTCGTGTTATTTTCAGACCATTTTTATTTATTTCTGAACATATTTGCTGCCCATCTTACCACAGGGTAATTCTGGGTGGCTTACAAAAAGACATGTTAGTTACTATACATTATTATTTTGATTTTCAGGTTTCAACTTTGTTAGCTTATCAGCTGTTTCTGGTCAACATCAAGGAACACTTTAAAAGACATAGAACTACCCTCTGATCTTTCAACAAAAGGCAAAATGTACCTTCTATTTCCTTTCAAGTGAGACATAATATAGCCCAAAGCAAAGTTTGGACTTCGAGGTATAATAGGTTCTGCTTTCTACCCACTCTTCCCTCTAACCTTTGCCCCTCCTTGCTTAAAATGAGCCCAGAAATATTTGGAATTTAGGTTGACAGAAATTACTACAGCCAATATTTTTCTTCATTTTAGATAAAGGGCAAGTCAGGGGAAGAGAAATCAATTTCTTTGTCTTATTCTTTGCTTTGCCAGCATTCCTCTAAGAAATCATCAGTTCCCAAAGGCATTGTCTGGGATATAAGTAGATGACTCACCAACATCATTACAGCTTTCTCATCAGGAGTAACTGCTGGATTCATTAGAGGAAAGACAATGTATACAAGAGAACATGCAAGGGAAATATCATTTAACTTTTAGAAAGGCAACACAAACCCATGGTCTTTAGCAATGGTCATTCCTATCTTCAAAAAAGGTGACCCTGCCTGGTTGAAAACTACAGATCAATCTCGTTGTGTTGTGTCACGTGCAAAGTTATCAAAGGAATCAATTATTAATCAATGCATTACCTTCCACCTAGAGTCAAATAACTTACTGTCCAATAAACAATTTGTTTTCAGAAAAAAATTGTCCTGCAATTTGCAACTTCTACACTGCAAAAACATACGGATGACACTACTTGACCAGGGCAAAGCAATAGATGTAATTTACATAGACTTCTGCAAAGCCCTTGACTCAGTGGTATATGACAAATTACTATTAAAATTAAATTCTTACAGCATTTCCGGATCCCTTCACCAAGTGGATTACTGCCTTCCTGTCAAACAGGCAACAAATAATAAAAATAGGAAATGCCCTATCAGACCCTGCACCAGTTAACAGCGGTGTCCCCCTAGGAAGCATTGTAGGACCCACACTCTTTACACTCTATATAATGACCTTTGTGATCACCTTATAAGCAACTGTGTCAACTTTGCTGATGACATAAAACTATTCAACACTACTGACAATGCTACCATCCTTCAAAATGACTTTGATTATGTGTCTGAATGGTCTAACAGTTGGCAACTCCAAATCTTGACCAACAAATGCTCTGTCCTACACATTGGTAAAAAAAAATCAATACACCAAATACAAGCTAGGCAGATATGACCTCATTGATGATCCTCACTCTGTCAAGGACCTTGGAGTTCTCATATCAAATGACCTAAGCGCCAAAGCTCACTGCAACAGTATTGCCAAAAAGGCTTTAAGAATTGTAAATCTAATTTTACAAAGCTTCTCCTCTGATAATACTGATTTGCAAACTAGGACATTCAAATCTTTTGCTAGACCATTACTTGAATACAGCTCTGCTGTCTGGAATCCACACTGTATATCAGACATAAATACAATTGAGCGAGCCCAGAAGTATTTTACCAGAAGAATACTACATTCCTCTGTTCACAACAGAATACCCTACACCATTAGACTTGAGATTCTAGGCTTAGACAACTTTGAACTATGCTGGCTAAGACTGGACTTAAGCATAGTACATAAAATCATATGATACAACATCTTACCAGTTAATGAATATTTCAGCTTTAACCACAACACAAGAGCACACAACAGATATAAACTTAATGTAAACCACTCCAAACTTGATTGCAGGAAGTACGATTTCAGCAACAGACTGGTCAATGTCTGGAACTCACTACCTAATTCTGTTGTCACCTGCTCAAACCCCCACTCCTTTACCCTCAAACTAACCTCTACTGACCACATCTCATTCCTAAGAGGTCTGTAAGGGGCGTGCATAAGCGCACAATCATGCCTACTGTCCCTGTCCTATTGTCCTCAATTATTTGTTCCTATTTCTTATATTTAAACTTATGTTTATTCTTATTTCTATTATATTGTAAGCATTTGACAAAATAAATAAATAAATAAAATAGTTCTTTTATTGTACTTACCTCTAAATCTGCCCAAAATTCTACCTGAGCTTGAATCATGTTTATGATCAGCATCAGCTATAAGATTAGAGACATATGTAAATTAAGCGCAATAATTTTAAAGTGAAATTGTATGAAGCAAAACATGGAAAAGAACCAAAACAATATAGACTATTATCATTAAGGCTGTGATTTACAAATGATTGTAGTCTGTCGCAGGTTCTTTGAATTATATTTTACCTATCAAGCTAAACATAAAACCACCTTGTTTGATTGATACTTTTTTTTTGAGATCCCTGAAAAATGTCAGTCAAACTAAGAAGTTGATACAATATAAATTGTTTAAATTTATTTTTATGATAGACACCAGTTAATTCATAATTCATGTTCATCTTTTCTTTCTTTCACACACACAAACACATAGCCTTTTAAACTTAGCAAAACTAACTTGGTTTTTATAATATAGTATTCAAACTATCTTAAAAATTTAATAAACTTTCACATGACTTTAATTACTTAAAATATTTTTTTTCTGAAAATCTTATACTTGGAGAGAAAACTGCATGTAACATTTGTGAATCCAAACTTGTAAGGTGTCTTCGTTAAAAATGTTTCTTGCATAAAGTATGACTTTCCTCATAAAAATTACAATTATAGATTTTGTATGTTCAATTGGGGACAATCATTTTCAGTTCAAAGGTAATATATGTACACTATACAGTGTTTGGAAAGAGAAGTACACAGACAAAAAATGAGCAGCAGAAAGAGTGTGTTTCTGATACTAATCATCCATCCAAATTTGAAATTCAAAGCTTCAAAGGTAACATCTCAGGTTTAATTTGGAGATAAACTCTGATGGTGAATTTTGACAGCAATGAATGGAGTTTGAGGGCCTATAGGAGAATACAGGAAGAAAAGGCATTTGTGGCCTAATGAAATGAGAGAAGAGGATATTTTATGTGCTTTCATCCCTGAAGTTGTCCTTCCTTAAAGTACTGGTATGGAGGCATTTGTCCATAAATGAAATTCTTTTCTGAGAATAATGCTTAATAATTGCATTGGCACGTTTATAGAGCTGGCTAGGGAACAGATTTTAACAGTTTGCTTTTACCTTTGATGCTGCTATGTATATTTTTAGAACACACTGCTCTAAGTTAACTGCTGCTATAATTTTGGAGCACTGCAAGCACTGTTTTACGAGAGGTTAAAATAAAAAGTAGCTGTGCTCAGAGAGAATGAATGCCAGAATAGATTCTAAAGAATACAGGAGAAACATCCAAAGGAATGGATGTTTCCACTCTGTCTTATTCAGGAAAAGCTAAACAAAGCAGCAAGACCATTTCAACAATCCTTTTAATGCAGTAGACTTATATATTCCCTTTCATAAAAAGAAATGCTATAAACTCAAAGTATTTTGTCATCCCAGATACCACAAGAACATTCATCCTAACTGAAAACTGAACTGAATATAAACAACATTACAATACATCCTTATTTCTCAGGACAAAGATCCCATGATGTATGGGGTTTTTTTTTGAAGCCAGTTAACATAATCAGAAATTGACTGTGCTGCAGCAGAGGAAAATAAAACATTTCCGAAGTTCTTCTATGTTATAAAGGCTTTGATATCAAAAGTGCTTGTTACCAGGTTAAACACAGATTAATTACCTCCATAGATTCTTGTCTTTCTCCACCAAATAAACATAGCAATTGCCAAGAGGACAACTACTGGAATAATTAGAAGTGTTGTAATAAGAACAAAAGAAACAGAACTGCTAGCCTGCTGGACAACTTGATGCCTTTCTTCTTTCCTTAAAAATTCTTTTGATGTGGGTTTCTTTGTCAGTGTGCCTTCTATAATTGCCTCT